ATAAATAAAGTATTTCTATCTATGAGTTTTAAGATTGCAGAAGTAAAGAGAGGGGATGTATTTAAAGCTAAAGAGATTTTAGAAACAGAATTGTACTCGAGTTGAACTACTATATAAATAGTACCTATAAAAATACAATATAAACAGTGTTTATATCAGGGATTTGGAGTATTTTCTACACACAGTGCGTTCGCTGTTTATCCTCTGTACAGTACTCGAAGTTCCTGGTTGATGAGGAAACATTTCGAGCTGTATGTCTCAAACAATGGCACACTGATAGAAAACACACCGGACACTTTTTTATTGTGTTGCCACTGAACTACAATGGAGGAAGAGGTGTGCTGGCTGCGGTGTTTGTAGCTGTTGGTGGTATATATGTTACTATGGTTGGTACAGTCGGAGGGGCGGACAGGAGCAGAAACACACTTACTGACGCGCCCATTGTTTTGATTTGAGAACAGAACAAACCAAATAAATCCGTCGTCTTTTTCTGTATTAAATATCGAACCGACTGAGCTGCCTCGCAGTGTTAACATCTAATACATTTTATACGCATATTCTGTATCACGCTACGGTCGCACACACAGCTTTAGATCTTCTTTTTCAACCATAACACAGTCTGTTACATTTAAACTCCCCTCCCCCCCCCCCATAACTTTGTTGGAGTGGTTTCGCCCAGGTTTGAACTGGAACGTTGACGTTGTTGCTGTACGTATCTTTTAAACGGTGGAACGATACATTGTTACCAGTCAGCGAATGTACGTCATCTTTTAACAACGGCACCGAAATACCGACAACAGGTGATTATTATTATATTGTCATTTATCTGTGTTTAATTGGGTTTTAACTCATTTGTTTGACGTTTCTCCAGTGGTGGCAGCTATATTTACACTACTTTGTGCTTTATTTGTGCTACTTTATGCTAACGTTACTCCACTACTATTATTTGATTACTTTACAAGTAGTTACTTTAAAGTTTCAGATTAGTTAAGAATAGAAAATATAATCACCAAATACGATACATTTAAGTTAGTAGTATTTAAAGTTAATTCAAATTAACCCCACCTTTATATATATATGCATTAGTTTAATTATAATCCAATAATAAAACATTAATGTAGCTACATAGGGTCATTATGCATAATGACTACTTTTACTTTTGGTACCATTTACATTTTAATGTAAAACTTTATACTTTACAGAATCCTGTGGTATTTAAGATCTCAGGACTTCCACCACTGCTTTATTTTGGACTGTAAAATCACTTTGTAATGTACATTTGATTAATTGTAATATATTAAGGGCTCAAACTAAGAGTTATTTTCATTGTTGATTGGTCTGAATTAATCATATTGTCTATTAATTGCCAGATAAAGTGAAAAATATATATTTATAATTATTTCCCACAGCCTGAGGTGATGTAGTCAGATGTCTTGTTTTATTTGACCAGCAGAAAACCCAAAGATACTCAGTCGACTAACATACGACAAAGAAAAGCAGTAAAAAACTATCTTGTCTGGCATTTCTGAGTAATTTTCTGTCATTTGAGTAATTGCGTAATCTACAAATAATTGCAGCTTTCATATTTTTTTTATTGTACACATGAGAAACAAAATGACCAATTTTACCAAGCTCTGTTGAATTTATCCGTCACCGTGTAATTTAAATGTCCAGACTGTTACTGAAATGCCAAATCAAATGGACGAGGCTCCGGAAGATTCCCCAGCTGACCTTCCCTGTCTGGAAAAACTTGACTCTCCTACGGGTAAGAACCTTTCTTATGGCAGTTGTTGTTTTTAGGCACGTTCTGGGAGCATTAGTAATTGAATTATTACCACCATGGCAGTTTTAATTATCTGTGGGTGTGTGTGTCCTGTCTGTGGTGTCAGGGAGCCCACCCACCGCCTCATTATCCAGTCTGATGGAGCTGGAAAATTGTGTTTCCAACCTGAGCCTCGCGCATGAGATAGTGGTGAACAGAGACTTCTGCTTCAAACCCCAGAGCCCTCCCACAGACAGGCAAGAGAAAACACTCCACCGCGGCTTAAGTGACCTTGGTTATTCTTCCAAAATTAATTAAGAGTTTAGTCTCCTTTTGAGCTGCTTTTGAACTGTTTTTTTTTTTCATTCTGTAGCCTGGAGGGCAGAGTGACAGAGATTGTTCACCGAGCGTTTTGGGACAGTCTTCAAGAGCAGCTGAACGGTGATCCTCCGAACTACAACCATGCTGTCATTCTGCTCCAGGAAGTCAAGAGTGTAAGTGTGCGTGGCATCAGATCAGAGGCATTAGTGGTATGAAGAGGGTCCTCCGAGACCTCTGACCATGTATACAGTTTGGACAAATGACACAGACACGCATGGCCAGCCTCGAGTCTGTGATGCCAGACTTCCTTACAGCTATCTCCTATTTACAGAAAAATAAATAGAAAACAACAAAGGCTTGTAATAATAACACCTAGAGGTGAAACAACAACTCTACATATTTTACATTTACAAGACATTACTGATTAATAAAAGAAGACTCATAGCACTTGAGGGTAGAACAGCTGGCCTGGCTGTGTTAACTACATACACCTTGCAGCACCTCTAAAGCTCCCTAATTAGCATATTATATATTGTGTGTTTAAAGGTCCAGTGTGTAGGATTTAGCATCTGTAGTTGCAGATTACATCTCCCTCGCTTCACCTTCCCCTTCAAAGCATGAAGAAAAAAACTCAGAGAATTTGAAAAGCACAAAAAACGCAAACAGCCAGTGTTTGGTTTGTCCGTTCTGGGCTACTGTAGAGACATGGCGGTTCAATATAGCGGACTCCATGGAAGGAAGATGTAAACGGCTCATTATAAAGTAACAAAAACAAAACAATTCCTATGTACAGTTGATTATACACTCATAAAAACATACCTATGCACAGTATATTGCATTTCTGCCAACAGAGCCTCCTAAATGTTACACACTGGACCTTTAATCTGTAAAAAAAAAAACAAAGTGTAAACACGTGGTGTTATGGGGGATATGTAACAAACTATTTCTTAGCCAGGTACAGTCACATCCTGGAGTCTCCTCTGGTTGCCTGGCAACCTAGTGGTGACAACAAGACGCCGGTGGTATCAATCTTATTTATCTCTTAACAAGACTAAAATGTCAAACCTCTTTGTATCTGTCTATCAGAGTCTGACCCACGCTGTGTTTTTTAGGCCAACACTGATGTTTGAGAGCTCAAAAAGTCAGATGAAGATGTATCCGCCTGTATAATATCAGAGGATGAACATAAAGAAATACATTTGGCTATTTAAAGAATTGTAATGCAGTTACAGTATTTGCTGAGCGGGATGTTATGCAGCTGATAAATAAACTGCATTTTGTTGTTCATCAATACCAAAATATCTACAATTAACACCAATTATATCAGCCTGTTGATTCATCAGTGGAGCTCTAGTAGGGATTCTATTTTCAGTGAATTAAAGGTTTTTGTGCCGGTCTTGATATAAATATGGATTTTATTATTAGACTGAGCAGCAGCCATATATCTGTTTATTTGTGCAGAGGAAAAGAAAACTCAACCACATGAACCTTTTCAGGATAAACTGAAACGTATTCTGTATGTGAACTACACTAAAGGCAGCCTTATATTTACTATTAGATGCTTCTGTCCCTGCTGCTGCCCGGTCACGTCAGACTGAGATCCCAGCTGGACGAGGTGCTGGACATGGAGCTGATCCAGCAGGAGGTTAATCATGGGGCTCTGGATCTCCACAGACTGGCAGGATACATCATCAACACCATGGCTTCTTTATGTGCACCTGTGCGTGACCAAGAGATCAGGGCACTGAGGGACCTCAAGGAGCCCGTGGAGCTCCTGAGGTGAGGGGCATCACCTTCACAGACAAAGCTATATATATATATATAAAATATAATCTCTCTCTCTAAAATATAATAATCTAATAGATTTAAACATTTAAAAACACTTACTGTTATTTGTTGACATAAAAGCTGGACGACGCGTCTCCACTTCCTCCAACTGCACAAAAATGAAGCCAAAATATCCCGAACACGGCTGCTGCCATCTTGCGATGGCGACGTCATTCGGAGCCAGAGTGTGCACAGTAGTTAATCATGACGTGAAATCCCCTTTTTATGGCATCAAATAACTAATTAAAACCAATCTGATCTTTTTTAACCCAGTGTGATAAGAACTACCTAAAATGACAGAAACCATCTTTGGAAAAAATTTATTTGACGTGTAATTTTGGCTCGACTTAAGGAGATCTGTCATGTCGTCCATCTTTTTATATGCCAGTAGTGTCAAGTTTATTTATTAAGTCTTCCCTAAGTTCTTAGCAACTACTAGCTAGTGCTTTTTTAAAATGACTAGCTTATTTGTATAATGTCTTCGTGGCGCTTCTTCTCTTTACCCAACATTATCTCCCCTGCCCTTCCCTCAGGGAGATCTTCCGCGTCTTGGGCCTGATGAAGACTGACATGGTTAACTTCACCATCCAGAGCCTGAGGCCTCACCTCCTGCAGCAGGCCGTGCAGTACGAGAGGGCCAAATTCCAGCAGATTCTGGACAAGCAGCCAGGTGAGCAAGGGCGTTTAAGTCTCTAACCCGACCGCTACAGCACGAGTGACAGACGACGAAGGTGACTTTGTGACTGCGAATCGTATCGTCGTTACATATTTCACTTTTCAATTAAAGCAGATTTTGACCCTGGTCGCTCTAAAGCACCATCCTGCCATTTTTCAGTTTCTCATAGATCGGCTGAGGAGTTGGACGGCCAATCAGTGAACTCTATTCTGTCTAAGTGCAGCTGGCTAATCAGAGTCATTGGCAGAGTGACAGAGTCCTCCGTGCTGACATAGTCAAGTTAGCTGTGGTACTAAATATCCATTTTTTCACCCTTTTTTTAATTTGAGTGTCCTCCAAAATACATTTAGTCAGCACATTGATTTATGTGGTTAATAAGTAGGATAGTTTTCTATATATGTTCATCTGTCATTTTCTCATCTCGGTACAGATACACTTAAAGGTCCAGCGTGTAGGATTTAGTGCTTAGGCTGTATAATTAAAAACTGACATAGTGTCTGTTTTCTGAAGAGTTCAGAAGCTCAGTGTGGTCGGCTCGTCGCCATCTTGGCAGTTCTAGCTTCGGTGGCAAATACACGGAGTGTGGGAGGAGCTGAGGCGTGCTGAATGAAGTCTTGTTACTGAAACCAGCTGCCTGTGATGGCACGCACCTGTCATTCAAAGCAGCCATGCCCTTAAATATGCATAACTTTAAGCCTTGATATAACTTAAATGGATTAGTTAAAAAAAAAAAAAAATCACCCTCGGTACAGTTGTCATGAACAGGGATATTAGCTATAGAGACCACAACTGTTGTTTGTACCAGGCTGTAAACATGCTGTAAAGTTTGGTATTTTAATATGGGGGTTTATGGAGATTAACTCACTTTAGGAGCCAGCCTCAAGTGGCCGTTCGAGGAACTGCAGTTTTTGTTTTTGGTTCTGGGCTACTGTATAAACATGGCAGCCTCTGTGGCAGAGGACCAGCTCCCTCTGTAGATATAAACATCTCATTCTAAAGTAACAAAAACACAACAATTCCTATTTTCAGGTGATTTTACGCTAATGAAAACATACCTATGAATATTGTATTCAATTGCTGCCAATAGATCCTCCTAAATGTTAAACACTGGACCTTTTAATTGATGCTGTGACAGTGGAACAAAGGTCTTTAACTGCTCTAAGTCTGAATTCTCAATGTGTAACTGTTGTTTTATGTGTTCAATATATCTTTGTCACATATATTTTACTGTTTTTCTTCAGCTTCTCTGGACAATACCACCGCTTGGCTTCAGGCAGCAATGTCAGAAGAAGCATCGGCCCTCAGAGCTCCATCTGAGTCTCCCAGTCCTGACAGTCAGGGACCTATCAGCGCCACCGCTGTCCTCAACCGGGCCTACATGCATCTGCTACACTGGGACGCGCAAGACCAGAAATATCCCGAGGTCAGCTGCAGCCTGCAAAAATTACATCACACTACACTTCAGCTTTCATTTGTGTGATATTTTATTGATTATCAGGGAATGTTCAGTCTCCCTACACACTTCTCCTCACCCTGCTGCATGTTAAAGCATCTGACAACACATTAGAGCTCATGTAGCATCGTGCAGCAGTGGCTCCAAACCTTTTTTTGTCTGACGTACTGACACAGCCCTGTCAGATGAACTCAAGTAACCCTTCATCAGCATCACCCAGCATGTTTCAAACGTGTTTATTTAAACAGATTTTAACTCTATTTAACTCTATTAATTATATAAAAGTAGATATTGTTGTTAGCCTAGAATAATGTTGTCTTATAATTGAGCTTTCAGTGTTTAGGTGGTTTGGAGTTGCATTACTACCACTTGGAGTGGCTGAAGCTGAATGTTATAAACATGTATCCATTACGTTCAGCCCAATTTCACCTCTACTTGTGTATCACTGTTGTGGAAATCCAGTGAAACTTTATCTATGTTGTCTTCTAGATATAGCTGTTGTTTTTCTTTAGGAAAGCTCATATTTAAATTTAAGTAATTTCCCCCCTGGGATTATGAAAGTATTTCTGATTCTGATTCTGATATTTCTACTGAAAATTCCCTGTGATTAACCATATGACACGTGACCCTGACCTGACCTCCACACACAGACTGTGCTGATGGACCGAGCCCGTCTGGACGCTCTGGGCCAGCAGCTCCAGATGCTGGTCCTGGAGGCATCAGTGCTGCTCCTGACCAACGCTCAGTGTGGGGGCGCCATTTTCTCTCTGCAGGGGTTTGTAGGTAAACTCAGGCAGTCCGTCGCTGCCCTGCTGGAGGGCAGTCACACCAGGTAAGAGGAGGATTTGGTGATGCATGTACTGGCTGTCATGGGGAACAGGTATTGTATGAGAAGGAAACCAATGGAGGTGACAGGAGGCAACTAGCTTGTCAGAACGGATCCAACTAACCTCATTCTTTCTGTTCAAGAGAAGCCCCGTCATGATTAGTGGATAAATGTGGAACAGCAGCTTATGATATTCAAAGCCTGCTCACATTCTGGTCCAGGCTGCAATAAAATGTAGCACGGGCGATTTCTCCCTTAATTACCTTTATTAAAATGTAATTTTATTTAATCTAAACCTCTTTTGAGAACTAGATGTTATTAAAGACCCTTATTTATAGACTTACATGAGTCCCTTTGCTCAACACCCCTTACAAACGGGTAAATTCATAGGCCTGAGACCAAATACACTTCTAATGAAGCTTGCTGGTAATTTGTCTAATGCTGGTTTTCTGGTGCTGCAGGGAAGCTGACCTGAAGCGAGCGCTGCTGGGACTCGGGGAGACCGTACTGCAGCAGGTGACCGAAGCCCTGAGCGGCCAGAGAGGAGCATCCCTGCCTCAGGAGAGCCTGGATCTGCTGAAAGGACAAATATCTGAGCTGTGGAAGCACAATAACCCTGTTCGCACACTCATAGGTCAGGCTGAGCACAAGAGCGCTTGAGAAATGATTCATTGAAGCACAAATGGGGGGGATGGTGATATAAATCCATGTATTAGATTAAAGTATTTATTTCTGGATATTGGTGGTGGTTATGTTTTTACTTTAAAGTTTAGAACATGTTACTAAAATAACTTTTTGTTATATTTGCTAAAACTTCTCACTATATCCTGACAGTAATACATGACAGATAATCTGTAGATTGAGTTGGTCCTTTTGACTTGTCCTAGTGGTAAAGCAAGAATCCACTGGGCCCGAACAAAAACAACCAA